ACGAGCGATTGAACAAAGTTTCTCTTCCTCTTGCTCCTTCCTTGCTGTTTTCTTCTTCCTCTTGCTCCTTCCTGGCTGTTTCCCATTGGCAGCCACCAAAAATGGGATGGCTTAAGGACCCCGCCGCGTTTTCCCGTCCCAGTCGAAGCGGCCGCCCCACCGCTGGGCTCCCCTGCGGGGTCGATGCCCTCCCGTGCCATGCGCTGGAAGTCCAGGCCCGCGGCTTCGAGGAAGGCCATGGAGGCCTGTGGCAAAAAACCCGTGGCCACGGATTCGCCGTTGCCCCCATTGAGTCATACTCAAAACCCGATCTTAGAATGGTCTGCCCAGAACCGTGAAAATAATTAAGAAGGCGGCCGCAGGTTGGGAGTTTCCCTTACTAACCTTCATCTACCCGGGTTTTGATTGTGGCTCAATTGGTTTGGTTTGGATTCTTTTGGATTGGCAATGGCTTGATTTGGTTCGGTTTGGATTGGAGTGGTTTGAAGTGGATTGGTTTGGCTTGGTTTGGACGCTGGTGGTTTGATGTGGAGGCTGGGTGGTGTCCCATACGAGGGTCTCAAATCCAAACCCAAACCAATCCAAACCACCTGGAGGTTACCTGATCAGCATGGGTTTTGGCCAGACGCCTGCGTTCCTCTGGTTCTCGTGGAACCCGCTAAGCTGCAAGCCACAACTCCAAACCAGCGGTTTCCCTTTGTTTCCGCTTCAAAACCAACTGAAACAGGGATCATTACATTATACACCTGAACATTGCCTTGTACATGGTGGTTTCCCTTTATTTCGCTGGAAAAAGGCCATGCTTGAAATGGGCAAAGTGTATCTTTTAAGGAGGCCTGTTTCTGAAAGGGTGCTTGATTTATCGTCCTATTTTGCAAAGACGGATATACACATCTGTGGGCACCTTACGGCAAGGTAAAGCCGGGCCTGCTTGCGTCAGCCCCGGTTCCCTCCCAAACTCTCGGCATTGTCTCCAGGCCAATTCCAACCAGCGTAGCGGATGCTGAGGTCACTGCTTGCGTCAGGGCTCATCGCAAGGAGTGTCCTCAAGGTCTTCTCAAATTCCACCGGCACACGGCCTAGTCCGTCGGACGCGCCTTTGTGGCCTCCGCTAGGGTAAATCCCACCGGCGTGCGGATGGCTGTCTCCGGCCAACTTCCACCAGCGCACGAACGATATGACCTCGTGAACCATCGGTCCCGGACCTAATTTGCACTGGCACACGGACGGCCCCGCCCATTCTCGGCAGTGTCTCCGGACCAAACCCCACCGGCGCTCGCACGAAGTACCTTATCGCTATGCCTCGGTGGACCCATGCCACCGGCACACGCCTCCGGCACCCTCGTGGGAATTAGCGTTGGCACATACTCATTCTTGCTCCTTCCCTGTGCCACAACTTTGCTACTATACACACCAGCGCTCAGGCTCCTTGCTTGCTTTGGATAATTAGAGTATACACATGCAGCTTCCACCACATGCGTTTGGTCAAGCTTGTGATTTACAGTTGCTTGGTTTTTGGGTTCGCGGCTCTCCTTGTTTCTCTTTCATATCTGGGTAATGGACCCGGTTTGATGCAAAGGAGGTCCCAAACGAGACCCCTCATCTGCACAATCAGGAATCACAGGAAGCCAAGAAGTGGCAAACACGCAAAAAGAGGGACACAAAGTGGAGAACCGTAGGTTTGCAGAAGACAAGCATCGGCAGGATGAAGAAAACGGTGCCATTTGGTGAGTCACGGCATGCGTTACGGAAAAGAAGGGGACCGTGAAAGAAGCGGTATTTCAGACCATGAACATCAGCGTGAAGGCATTCGAAGGAAGTGTGGATCGTTAAAGCTGCAAACCGGTGGCATCATCCTGGTGTCTTGCAACAGCTAAAGTAGTTTCTAGAGCCACTGCCGGATGCCCCACGCGAAGCGTGAAACATGCTTGGGCCAGGGCAAGCTCTCTCATTTGCTTCATGGGTTTCACTTCAAACACGTTTTTCCGAGGCCTGCTACAAAGGGTTCAGGGATGCTTCCCGTGCCCTGGTATCTTTCTGAAGCAAAGACAGTGTTGCTTCGTACTTAGTTGCAGATCCCTCTGATCCAAGTACTGATGCCCCTGCAAATATGGGCAAGCTAGTATGTTGATATTGCACACACAAGCCTGATAACTTACATGCGATGGTTCTCCAACAATAAAACTGCCCACACACACACATCGCACACATACTGAAATCCATCGAACACAATCCACGGCAGCTCCAATTTGGGAAGATCCAAAAGGATACCAACTATCAGATCCTCATAGCCAGGATTCCATGGCCCAACTCTGCGTGACAAACATCTGCAGGCCTCTGTGTAGAGATCAGTGTACACCTGGGATGCGGGTAGTTCGTGCTGTTGTGTCCACATGAGTCAACTGCTTGCCCTCAGTTAGTAGAGCTGACCTTACCGTCAGCGATGCTGAACAAGGTGTGGCCGTCTACCGACATGGCAGCCGAGAATAACACCTTAACACTGACCGGAGTTGAACAAGGGAAAGGCAATATCCGTGCCTTCAATAGTGGTCAACAAGCCACACACACACACCCTATGGGAAGCACAGCTCATTGCTAACGTTCTGCGTTTGCTAGCCTGGCCAAAAACGGAACCAATCTTGCTGCGTTCACATGATGAGTTCACATAAACCTGCGGTGGAGTGATCGCATACCTGAGTGCAGTGCATCGAAGAGCAGGTTGAAGCACCAGGTCCTGAAGCCCACGACTAGTCATGAGGCGTGGCCCTCGAGTATTTTTTACCATGGGAGAATGGAACAATACCAAACCTCCCGTGACTGATACATTTTCTTTGTATCAACTACAGTAGGAGCTAGGGATTGCCTCACTTGACGTAATTCTAGATGGTAGGGTTGGTCTGTGGTGTGAATCAGCGTTGAAATCGTACTGAGGGACCGCACACCACGGATCCGGGTGCAAGTGCAAAGGAGCAAATCTGAAAAGAACCTGAGAGGCGATGAACAAAAGAGAGCGGGGCCGAAAGCTGCATGTGCAATAGCAAACGGAGACTTGAAGATGAGAAGCTTGAACTTGCCAACTTGCGAAGACTGGACAAGCTTGCTTTTAGTCGGACCTCGCGCGGCACCAGGATAAGGATCTGTTGATGCTCTTGCAAACTAGGGCTGGCGGCGGAATATCCCAAGCAGGCAAAAGCAACATGGCAACGAGTGATCCTGTTCCTGCAGCGCAAGAAAACTCAGACAGGTGAGCCATGGATCACAGGTGCGCAGTCAGGGAAGCTCAGGTTCCCAGTCTGGCAACGCAGGCATCGGCACCCGTCTCAACTTGGCCCGGGCAAATGGCTGTAGCCAATGCAATACATCGGTTTTGTCTTGTGTCCTACCATACCTAACACCATCCTTTAGGGCATCCTCCAAATACGAACGAACTTCCATCAGCGGGGTCTTGGTACAGGTTCGCCCCAGGCACATATGGCTGTGGGTCAAAAATAGGTACCCAAAATTGAACCCTGTAAGTGGCATGGACTAAAAACTGCGGTCTGGTGGTTTAATTTTGACCCATATCTTCTGTCTAAGCTCAATAACGTGCTGCCTGACGCAATGAACATTGAAAGCCAAGGACCTCGGCCAGTCACATGGCCAAGCGCTCGCGCATTGATCACATGGCTTACACTTCTGGATTCTTGGAATCCCACGGCACTGGGCACGCACACATTCGGGGTGTTTGATGCAATAGGTAAACTGCAACCAAAGATGTTCACAGTCTTGAGTCCTGGGTCCCACCAGGAAGCCAGGTGTCTACCAAAAAAACATAGGCTGGAAGGAAGACAGGAACACAGACCCACTTTCTCCCCCCAAAAAAGTACAAAATCGATCAAGGAGGGGATCTCTACTCGACAGGCACCCCAAAAAGGGCAACCTCAACCGTTTTGGCTTGGTGTCTCTTGGTTTCCCTTTTGCGTTGGAGAGCCCCAAAAACCGGAAAACGGGTACCCTCCAAAGAACACACAATTTTCCTGTCCAATGTCCGACTGCTCCGGGCACCGGTCCCGCGCAGGGTGCCATCTGGCTGGGCTACCGAGATGCCGAGCTGAATCGGCCTCGGGTTTCCAACGGCCGAGGCCGCGGGGAGTTCTGTTTTGGGGTCCCCTCATTTTGACAACCTCAGGAGAAGACACCTTGGTTTTGATTCCGGTTCAAGGATAAGGCTTGATGTTGCAAAAATAAGCCAAAAGTAAACATACTCAACAATGAACATTTTGCCTTGGGCCTTACGGTACCTCAGTGTCCATTGGGAAAGCAAGACACCCCTTGTGTTTGCTGAGTTAGGCAACCACTCAAACAAAACAAAGGTTTGACAAGGACCACTGGGTGACTCAGACACTTTCAGCTCAAGTCTACCTTTTGATCTCAGACAAACAGGTCGCTCATGCTCATTGAAGTGTTCGTTGTCTGCTCACCCGTATGCTGCCAACAAGTACGCACCAGCAATGACGACGCTGATACCAAGCTCGCTTGTTTACCCACAACGACAGACAGTGGTCTGTCCAACTTCAACCCAGCTAGTGCTTGAGTCAAGCAGGTAGGAACTATCCAAACACAAAGGGGAAAGCGTCATTGAAACGGAAAAGCACCACCTTCGACGGGCTCTGCCAACCGTCTCTTGACCGCGCTTCACTGATTGTGCGTACATTGTTTTGTTGTGGAAAATTAAGCCTAGGCCCTGGCCTTAAATTGAAACATATTCAAACCTCAACCCTGCAGCTAAACGAAACCCTCCTCTGGTACGCTGGCGTGCTGTGAACAGAACGAAAACGGGGCAATGCTTGGGCCAGCAGGATTGCCGGCAACCCACGAAAGCTGCTGACAATGTTACATACGTTTAGATATTAGTTCGGGGTTCAGGCTGTTTCAGGGTTTCGGTTTAGGGTTTACGATTCAGGTTTAGGCGTAGCAGTATCTTCACAGCATGACGCACGGCTACTCCTTGAGCTCTGGGCCGCAGGTTGTCGCAGTTCTGACGAAGAGCTGCGTACCTCGCTGCACTCCATCGGACGATGATGGGCGGAGTGACGCATTTGCAGCAACGCCATGCCCCGAGTTTATGAATCAAGGGCTTGCTGAGCCGAAGCTTTGCGGCCGCAGGTTGCCAACACTGGGCTCCCTATATGTTTCTCCCTAGAAACATCACTCACCAAAGTACCCACCCGGACTAGGCAAAAATGATTTGGCGTTTCCAAAAGGTGACGTTTCAATCCGCCCTTTGAGGGGACATGTGGGTATGGTCTCAACTTGGTTTGCCAAGAACGGGGTTGTGGAGTAGATTCAGCAAGAAACAGGAACAAACTGGATGTGATTCTTGGCTCCTAGTGTTCCTAGAAATCTTAAAACTGGTGGTTGTTATGGTCGCGGGATCCCGTAGACATTTTGAGGACACGGTCGACAGAGCATGGCCTTGCAGTAGCTTTGGCGCTCTGCTTCTCCTCACGCAGGAACCCGGGGAATTCCTCAGCGCGATGTGGGCTTGGGCCGGGTCGGGGGCCCCATGGAATTCGGGGAAAACCCGATCCAGGGGAAACGCCATGGAAACCAGGGGAGATGCAAGGGGGACCAAGGCCCACTCGCAGCTCCGTTTCTTGACGCACCCTTCGCACAGAAAGTTTTCCCAGCTTAAATCAATTGAAGGGCTTCTCTGTTAAATAGGGGGGGTCTGACAAAAATCTGCAACAACCATCCATCACCTGTTGGTTTTCTTTTGGGGAAGTTGACAATGTCCGGAGTTTCGCACCCAGTTGCTCACACCAGTCCCTGCCACTTCACCAGCTTGCCGAGAAGCCGTGTCGAGCGCCAGAACAGCTTCGTCATTCCTGGCGGAAAAGGCGCAAGCTTGCGGGTTGAAGCATCCGAACCACCAATACAAACCACCCTCTAAGGGCTACCTGAGACTCCTGGTGTGTCAAAGTAAGATCATTGTGCTGTTGTTCATGAAGGTGTTCTTGAATGGCAGGGAATGTTCAACCCCTATGCGTGGGTAAAGGCTCTTGTTTGCGCGCGGGGAGTTCCTTTCTTGGGGCTCCAAGCATCGAGCCTCGCCTTCGGGTGCTCAAAGCCAGGTGGCTATCCCCCAAAATCCCTGCTTCTTGAAACTGCCAACTGAAGGGATCTGGAGGACGGGGCGAAAAACCGAAAACAATTCCTCGGTCCGGCTTCATCCCATCGCGGTCGCGCACGTCCGCCCAGGAAACCAAGCGCCCGATGAACACGGCTTATCGAGCGAAGTGGATTGACAAATGGACAGTCGAGCGCAAGCCACACAACCGCAAGCACAAGTGCCACACAAATGCACCTGCATCAAACCACCGAATTGCCGCTGCAATCGAAGGCAACCACGGCTGCCGAGTTTCATGGCAAAAACCCTCTTGGGTGCCGCGCCCTAGGGCTGCAAGCAGCTGGCCAAACTCGGCATCAAAGTTCCAAGACCACACCTGCACATCGCAACAGCAATGCCCGAAGGGTCATGTGGACATGACCCTTGTGAGACCCAAGCTGGGATTCCTGCTTTATCGCTTCGAACATTTTCTTCGAACGGTAAAATGTAAAGTGCAACCTGAAACTATCAGTTTTCCGCAACCATGGTCCGAACAAGACAGGAGCGCGGCCTCCATTCTATTGGAACTGCAGAATGGTCCGGCTTATCATCGCCAGGCACAAGATCCCTGTCGAAGTGTGTATATATATACATGTATGTAATATGTATATATATATATACAAGACCCTTTTTGTGGGAAATATGTGGGCCCCCACATAGTGTAGACTCTCGGTTGTGTCAGCTCAGGGTACATTCTGTTTGAATGGGGTGCCAGAAACAAGTCAAATTTGAAACCTGTCAGGAAATCAAGCGCTGAACCAAACGGAAGCTCGGATTGGGCATTGACTCGTGATCAAAGAGCTCCCAGCCACCCTGTTGAATGGCCTTTGACTTGCCCTGAATCCAGTCTACGCATGTTGCAAGCATGCTCGATGCTTGCAACTGCTATACAAGCATGCATGCTGCATGGCCATGCCCAGCCCCCCATGTGGCATTCCTAGCCCGGAAAACCAAGCAACGCGCCAAATTGCCTTGGAGTGCTTCGGGGGCGTGCAGAATCATGTTTCAGTTGCCGATTTGTTGGTCCCGACAACTTGTCGGAGGCACCTAGGATGCCTGTTTTCTTCTCGCAGCAAACTCTCCAAGACATCAGCGAGTTTGCAGATCTGGGTTTGTTTCAAGGAGATCCCCAAAGTGGCAAAGCTCCTTTTTGGTTTATCAAAGCCAACCCAAAGCGGGGGTTCCCCTAGAAGGAAGCACCATCTCTGCGCCTCAAAGATCTCGTGGCAACTTCCTGGCGAGGCCCGGAAATGCAGCGCCCAGCACTGTCCCCCCCGCCCCTGTCGTGAATCAGATTGTGCTGTGACCATATTTGGAAAAGTGTCAAAACCAGGCAGTTGTTTAGAAACACTTTGAGGCGGTGGGTGCCACTGTGGTGTTGTCATGTGTTAGACAATCATTGTGTTGATCAATGAACCATGTTGGCTCATGGTTCAAGATTCAACAGCAAAGTAGCCAAACACAAAAAACAACATCGGCTGGCTCAAGTTATAGTAGATACTGTAGGTCGATTCAACAGCAGAACCAATTTTCGCGCACCCGTCAGTCAGGATGCTGCAACCCCCGCTCCCGCCTCTCATGGCACGAGGACAGTGAACTTTGGCCTCCTGTGCGTCGGGGACACATCAAACATCCTTCGACCACCTCTCAATTGCACATGATTCAGGCACGTGCACCACGCTCAACATCCACAGAGACACACAAGTCAAGCAATATTCACACGTAAAAAGGGCGCCTGATCTTATACCTCATGACGTGGACACTCGTTCAAAACAACGACAGGATCGGTTTACATACATTGCGCAACATGAGCATGCGACACATGAGCCACTATTGGTGCTGGTGTCCCAAAAGAAACAAAACGCCTCCAGTTCAACAGAGATCTGTTGGCATGCACAAGCTGCCCCAACACGAGTGCAGCGCCAAGCGGCCAACTTCAAAATGGAACTCCGAGAGAGCTACCGTCCCTCAAGGAAAAGTCGAAACAAATCGCAGGGCCCCAAATTCATGGACTCGCCGCGTGGATCAAATGAGCCATTCGAGGAACTCAGGAAGTGGCTGGATTTTTTGGGTTCAAAACATCCCAAAGTGGACTTTCCATGAGACGTCCCAAAAAATCCCAAGAGAACATGGACAATGTGGGCGGCTTTCTCGGAAACACCACATGGGCCTGAGGTGACTTTTTGCTGGACTCATGTGGCTGTGGGTTAAAAATAAGCACCCACAATGGAACACCCGTAAATAGAACATGGGACTAAAACCTGAGGTCCGCTGGTGATACTCATGTTGACCTTGAATAACCACATCAGGAAGGCCCCTTTTTCGTGGGGATTCCGAGCATGACTTCCCAGCTGAGGGTGGCTTCAGGGATCATTATGCAGATCCTCACCCAAAGCAGCTTGGCCCCCTGCTTATGCTGGTGCCGATGGGACACCCCTGTGCGAAAAAAAAAAAAGGAATTCCCTTTTGCGACATAATGTTGGGCCCCCTGGTTTTAGTTGGTATTCAAAGGGCAAGCAAAAGAAAACCCACCATGTTGTTTTTCTCCTTCTGCACAATGCACAGCGTGTGCATGTCCAGCCAACCTGACTCCGCCCAAGCCTGCAATCTCTTTCAGAGTCCTGGGCTACATCTCTGTCTTATTGAATGACCAATCGCACGAATTTGTCCGTCTTGAACACATTCGCGATTTTCGACGGGCTCTCGCCTCTCTGCGCCGTCCACTTCTCCCAAAAAGAGCTGCGGAGCAGCTGCAGAAAGAGGCGCTTGCCCAGGGTCACGTGAGCTTCTCGCGGATATCCGCCGGGTTCTGCCGTCGAGTGAATTTCCTCGATGGATTGCCGGTCCTGCCCAGCAAACGTGTCCTTTTCTTCCAAGAGGGTCATGAACCTGAAACGATGCGCCGCAGCAGTGTCGGCGAAAACATCCGCCAGCTTCAGGAAGCGAATCTCAGCTTTGGGATCTCCCTCTTTCTCATCCTCGGCGCTTGTATTGTTCGCAAGGCAGCGGACGGAACGACTACCTCCACCTGCAAAGCTCAAGCCGACATCAGACAAGCCACCACATCCTTCCCAAACATCTTGGAAAGCCGAGTACCATCTGCTCTTCGGAATCACTTTAGCTCTCCCGATCTCAACATCGGCTTCAATGGGTGCTTCGTTCCTGTCATTTCCCTGGCCGGCAGCACAGCCAGATGCTCCATTCGACCATTCTCTAGGATTCGTGTACTTCACATCCAGGGTTCTGTCGGCATTCACATGGACCACTTCAGCATCATACCAGCGATCCCTGAGCAATCCCAAATGGCAACCACCAGCGGTCGTGAAGCGCAAATCTTCTTGGGAAGCTCGTTCCAGGTATTCCGCATCAAGCTGAGGTGAAACAGCTCCCTGTGGTGCGGCCCAACCCGGGCAGCGACAGGAACTCCAAATGAAGTTATCCCCTCGGCGCAGAACTCGAACTCTGTCGCCGGCTTTGAGGTGTTTGCGTCCCTCTTCCTGGTCCACCTCCAAGGTGCTAAACAAGACCTTGTCACATGACCTTGATGCACGTAAGAAAGGCCCAAAGCGTTCTTTGAAGTCCTCAGCGTTGTCGTGTTGAACTCGGGGGATGTTGACCGCAAGCACTGTTGGCTGCACACCCTTCCCAATGTCCTCTCCCAAGGGCAAGCGGGTGCGTAAGATTTCCCGGCTTCTTGGATCTTGGGCAAAAGTCACCAGAGCCAGCAGTGAGTTGGCCACAAAGCCACGATACACTCTGGCCCGGGCCTGAGATTCAATTGTGCCTTGCATCTCACAACTTCCGACGAGTAAAAAACGGCCATCCCGCAGGAGAAAAATGCCTTGGAGCTTGCGCGTCCATAAACTGGAATTGAACCAAGCTGCATTCAGGGACAAAACCACCAAGACATCATCTGGTAGCTTGGGTGCCGCAAGACTCCCATTATACCCGGGCACTGCCTCTAGTTCAAAAGGCGATTCCACTGGCACTTCCTTGGGCGGGTAGCCTGCAAGATCTGAAACTTGTTGTGGAGCTGGGGGAGAATCAAGTGCATCAGCCGCATCATCTGCAGCATCCGCTTCTTCTTCTGAGACTCGCGGCCAGTCAAAAAGCTCTCCTTGCAGGCAATCCCACCACAAGCAGTCCAAGTGGAAGGGCTCAATGGAACAACGGTAATCTTGATGATCCACCCTCACAGGAAAAACATCCTGCCCTTGAGGCGGTGCTGCCAATGAGCAGCTGGACTCCACATAGATGAGATGCTGGCGGTGGTCGACATAGGCGACCTGCAGTGCTGAGTCCCTGAGGCACAAGTGCCAATCACGCAGCAATCGTCGGTTGAACTCCGGGTCCAGGTCGTTTCCATGTAGCCATGCATCTGGCCGCATTTGACTCAGGTAAAACCTTGCATCAAGAGATGCTTGGGCTGTCTGAAAGGCCTGTGAAACCTTAGCCGCACCAAAGGCCTCAGTTGCAGGCAAATAGCTCAGGACCTGCTGTATTCGCCGGGGATTTGTCACTAGCTTAGCCATGGGAAGTGCTATGGAGCAATCGATGTCTGGGCGTCCGCATCTGCTAGACTAGTCGTAGACATCTTGAGCCAAAAAGGACGTCCACCAATTTTAGGGCCCACAATTTGGAGCAACAACTGCTCTCGATCTCCAGAAAACAAAAAAAGTCTAGTGCGGCCGCTCGCCGCCGCCCATCCCAGTCCTTGGCGCCCCAGTTTTCTCGCTCCCGATGGCCGTCCCCGTGTTCAATGTCCCGATTGCAGTCGTCGTGTTCTGTTTTCTTTGTTATGACGCGTGCAACGAGTCTCTGCTGTTCGGGTTGCCGACAAGGCCGCTTGCACTCACGGCATCCCTTCGCTGCCCAGAGTTTTTCTGGTTCTGAGCCGAAGGTTCGGAACGGATGGGCGGTTCTCTTCGTGCTAGCCAAACTCCCAGGTTCTCCAGGTGCTATCGTCGGTACCAAAGTTAACACCAACTCTCCTTCTGGACGTTGTCACTTCCCATTGGTTCATGGGTACAATCATGTCGATGGTGGCTGAAGGCTTGGATCTGCTGGGCCATCACCAAATGAACAAAGCTCACCCTGCGAATAAATATGTCCAGCTTGGCATGCCCTCAGGAAGATATGTGGAACACAGAGTGACTATGCGGCCGCTCGCGTCGGCATCTCTAGCTTCTCAATCACCTTGATGCACTGGATTGCGCCACCTATCATTGTTTCAAGCCACAAGCACGCAATGTCTCTGTTTCAAAAGCGTCAAGCCTGAACTAGCCCGTACCACGGCTCGAGCAGCAGAAGCGAAAGTTCGCGTTGGTTTCTGCTTATCATGACCAAAAGCAATCTAAGCACTGCCCTGCAGATCATGGACTCACACACAAACTCTGTTTGCACACCATCTTTTTCGGGTTCCATTATCAAACAAAAGTCCCTGGAAATACCTCAGAGTCGATTGACGGCTGATCTGGCCACCGATGTGACTCAGGCACCCTGCTCGTTGCGGACCACCCACCTGGATGGGGAAAGTCAGGTGACCCAAACATTCCAAGGACTGGCTCTTGCTTCAAAAAAGATCCAACAATTCATGCCTGACATATTCGGTTGCAACCAACAAGAAACACACAGTTTAACTTTAACCAATGTCCACTACCACAAACGCTTCATGTGCTCATTGGCAATCTTGCTTTCAACAACTATCAGCCCAAGTTCAATTTGTTGCTGTAGTGGCTTGTTCACGGTGCGGCGATAAGGTTGATTTAGGGTGGGTAGAGTTCATTTCGGGTGGGTTAGGCTGGTGTAAGGTTGGTTGATGATGGGTTTTTGGCTTGGTTTGTGAGTGATTTCGGGTGGGCTATCTAGGGTTGATAGTCACAGGATTGGTCTGGGACGGGGTTTAGCGTCGGTTCAGGGTGAGTTCAGGGTGAGTTTCGGTGGGTCGGTAGACAGTGGCTTCAGTTTTAGGTTCATCTAGGGCCTGTCGAGTTGCTTCTCGCGTGTGTTTTCATGCTATTGCGCAGGGTTCTTCAGGAAGAACCCAGCGAGTTGCGCCAGAGTAACACAGAGGTTGCTAGCGCAAGTTACCACGGGGAAGATTCACGAGACAGTGCAACAAGTTGCACGAGCAAGTTACATAAGAGATTGCTCCAGCATTTGCTGCGGTGTTTGGCTAGAGAAGCAGTCTAGCGAATTCGCGCGTGAAAGCAAGAAAGTAAGCCTCGGCAAGCATAAATTACTCTTTTTTGAAGGCGGCGGGCTGTCGCCAACTTGTCGATTTGTAAAATCGCGGAGGAACCCTCTGCGTGGTCGCTGTTTAAACTCGAGGATTTTGCTGCTTGTTGCGGTTCCCGTGCGACCCTCTGCATGCATCGGTGTGGTCGAGGTTCTAAACTCGAGGCTTTACATACTTTTTGCGTGGAGCGGCGTGATCGAGGTTCAAAAACTGGGGGATTTTTATTGCTTTGCTCTTTGTCCGCGCGACCCTCTGAACCAAACCGTCAAATGAACCCGAAAAGGGTGGGGGGAACCTTGCTGTGAATTTGCAGAGCGTATGGCTAGGAAACGGGAAGGGGCAAACATGAACTGGCCCGGCAGATTCGCTTCCTGGCAGAGAAATCAAAACAAATAGACGACACACAAAAAGGAAACGGCCCGAACTTGAAGCCAGTTGGATGCACTCTTGGAGACACGCGTGCCACTTATTCCTTGAGACCAAGATTTGACCCCACATGTGGGGCTGATTCATATTTAGCCTTACCTATGTGTGGAGGAGACCCCGGGAGACCTTTCCCTCACAGCAGGAAGCCAACTCAAAGCTTCCTCATCGCTATCTGAAAAATGCAAAGACTCCAACTGCCCGAGATCCGTGGCACTTGAGATTCTCGTGGCCATGGGCATTGCCAATGGGCAGAATGCGATTCGTGGGCCAACCTGGATGAAATGAACCTTCAAGGGGTCTGAAGAACATGCCAAATCCCTTGTCGCGATTCGATGTTCTCAGAGCATGGCATGCATCTGAGACACATGACTGACATTCTGCAAATGCTCAAGTGACCATATAGATTGATGGTCTTCCTTGAAGTGTCCCTTTAAACCAACCCCAAGGGCACCCTCAAACCCGCAGAGTTCCGCAGGATTGGGTTGGCATGGGGTCAAATGGGGTCAAATGGGTTGGTTCAGGGCTGGTTTCGATGCAGCTTGTAATACTGTGCTTGCACCTGAAAAACATTTGCATAGAGCAAGTGGTTTCGGCATGTAGCTCACGCCTTCAACCCCGGTATTGCGTTGCCTTTACAATCTGGTCGCTCCCATACGGTCCCTCTTCGAAAAACTCCATTTGGCTGCCAAAAGGCATCTACCGTACCAGCTGTGCTTCGGTGCATTTACCTAAGGGCATTCTACCGTTTTGCGTCTGGTTTCTGCTTTTGTTTTGGAAACTCAGCACCCCAAGACCCATCTCCCCAAACGCGGCGAGGCTGACCGGGCTGCCAATAGGCCTTTGCCTGGCACGCGTCGACCCGGTAGCCACCTTCAGGCCAATCTAAGCCTCTGAATTTTCATGCAGTGAAAATGAAGCAATTTATGTCCAACCAACCACTGAGGGGCGCGGTGGACCGTCAAAATTTGTAGCAATGCTGCAACATCTGAAGCTTTCAGGCGCGAACGCGCGACACTCCTGGCCAGGCCGGGCACGCTCTGTCACGAGCGACGTGCAATGGCGCCAGACACGTGACTTAGCCAACCGACAAGCACAACATACGATTCGCCATTTATTGAGTACAAAGCCATGATACCATGTCCTGCAAGAAACATGTAGCACTCATCCAGTGCCAAACCTGTCTCACCCGTGAGCCATACCATCAAAGCTCCACGCCTCTTGGCTGGTGGCAAAGGGGCAGATGTCGGCCGCTTGGCCTCAGAGCAAGCGCAAACTAGCTTCTGTGGTGTCTTAGACTCTACATGGACACCTTCCTGACAACTGAGCACAAATTCAAACGACGTCCATCTGTGCCAGTCGCTAAGCATAAAACATCAACTGGAAACAAGAAGAGTCCTCAAGTAAAACATCTTCATTTTCGAGCTCGACTCTTCCGCAGGCGAGCTTGTAGATTCGTGCAGATCTTTCAGGTGTTATCCCAGTTGACCCACAGCGGCAAGCCAAGAACCTTGAGCAGTACCTCAGCTTGAAGTCTAGCAGGGCTTGAAGGGAGACATGGTAAGTTGTTTATTTGTTTTAAGGGACCTACAAAACTGTGGCTTTCCTTTTGGTTCCCCTTACACCAACCACCAAAAGGGCACCCTCAAAAAGGACCACCCCATACGGTTCAAAGGGGACCCTTTCAAGGCTCTAAGAACATTGGCTCAGACTGGCTTAAGCGGGGAATGCCAACATCGCCTGCTTATTCCCGCATTTCAGAAAAAGCAAAAAACAATCTGTGTCAATACTGCCAGGTAATACAAACAAATCTCCCCCAGAACAGCTTGGGCTTACCGGTTACTTTCTCCGCTACCAATAGAAACACAAAACGCCGTTCCCAATGGCAGAATCCTCTTGACAGCTAAGCATTGGACTCTCCCACAATCACTATCAATTGCTTGACGAGGCGGCTCAGACTTTGTTTCGCCATGTGGGTACCGCAATTGATGTTACTTGGGACATCTTTTGTTGTTTGCCGCTGATGGCCGCATTTTGCAGGACCCATGGCAGTTGTCATGCCATTGGTTGGAGCATCAGCCCCATCTAGATTCAGTTGTGATTGCCTTCAAGAGCAAGGCTTGGTCTCACAAATCCATCCAAAACCGCATCAGTGTGAACCTGTGGCTAGCTCACGGGAAAAAGTGGGAGGCAAAGGTTTAAGGCGGTACAGGTCAAAGCCAGAGCCAACGAATGGCTTCTTGGCGCTCCTCCTGAAATGGAAGACTGAGCTGCTGGCAGGCATCTTTACCACAGGTCGTACCTGGCGTGAAACATTGGCGCTGCAAACCATCTACACTAGTCGTCAGAATCCACGCTTGATTTAGGTGTCCTGAAGGACACATCCTTCATCATGGGCAAGCTGGCCTCACTCTCAGGTGACTTCACTATATTCTCTGCAAACAGAGGCGTGCACAAGTCGTCAGAGATGGCTTAGATACTGGGCTGAGCTGCCGCTCACGGGGCAGGCTGCAGATTGGCATAAGTCACAGCTTGCACGTGCAGTTCCTAGTTCCTGCTCGCCTCCCCATCTTTTCAAGGTATATGGCCTGGAAACGAAAAACAGCTAGCGAGCTGACCAAATCATGCGAAACGGCTGCAACTCAATATCCTTGGATGCCCACCATTTTGCAGATATACGCAGGTAGTTTGGGAACCTCAGATTGTAGGCTGCACCCAATGTCCACGGCTTTTCAATGGGACTGAAGGGCATAACAATGATGCAAGTGTGTTGTCATTTTGTATCAGGACTTATTCAACACACTTTATGGAGAACATGGGATATGGGGCACAGTTGCGACCCCGTCCTTCTGTGCTCCTTCCGGAGGCCCAACAAGGATACCTCTAGATTTCGATGAGCAATCTCTTTCCAGAAACTGCACAATTTGGTATGCCGGGCCAGCCAAACAACGATCCAAAAATGCAGAACCCTCATCCTGGGGTCAAACCGATTGCTTCTCCTTTCTCTTGTGCGGTCCCGTGCGCCCTCTCGCTCTCTCTCTCTCTCTCTCTCTCTCTCTCTCTCTCTCTCTCTCTCCCTCTCTCTCCCCACTTACAAAACACACAAGAGGCGCAACTGCTAAAAGGGGGAGATTCCTCCATTCAACCAGTCTGTGTTGCATGGTGACTTCCAACACAGTAGAGTCTACCCCGTCAAGCCCCTACCCTAACCTCGAGTATGCGCGGGGGAGGTTCGGGTTCAAGTTCGGGTTCGCTTGCTTTTTTTTGCAGGTTCCGGGGGGGGGGGGAGCAGGTTCAGGCTTGGCTTCGGGTTCGGGCTCGCGGCTGCGGAGGGTTGCCAGGGCCATGTTCTGGTCTGAAAAGACTCCCCAGCAGTGCTGCTGAAGCTCAGTCAAGACTAATGAAGATTGAATTTGTTTGGATTTCACAGGGCGGAAAGATTTGTATTTTCCCAAATTCGGCGTTTTTTTTTCCCCCTAGGTTCGGCGGGTACCAAAATGACGTGTTTTACAGTAGCTCCTATGCACCAGTTTTACACCTGCATAGTCAACGTCCCCAGCATCGTGTTTGACACCCCTAGCATCGTGTTCAACACCCCACCTCGCCAAAAGCTTTGGTTTGGGCCGGATTAGGGTTGGTATGGGGCTTGCTTAGGTTTGTTTCAGGGTTGGTTCAGGGCGGGTTTTGTGCTGGCTTCGGGTGGGTTTGGGGTTGTGGCTCAAGGGTTGGAAAAGGTGTGCTGGTTACTTCGGAGCCAGTTTGGTGTGGGTTTGGGGCTGGCTTTGGGCGGGTTTCAGGGTGGAAGGCGGCTGGCGTAGTTCAGGGTGGGTTTAGGTTGGTTTTAGGATGTGTTTTGGGTGCGTTTAGAATTGGCTTAGGGCTTTAAGATTTGCTGAGGGTTGGCTCAGGGTGGCTTAGGGGGCCTGTGTTGGGTTTTGATTTAGCGTGGTTTAGGGATGGTGTAGTGCTGGTGCAGGGTTGGTGTAGGGATGGTTTGGGGTGGGTTTTGGGTTCGAATACGGTTGGTTTAGGGTGGGGTGGGTTTAGTTGTGGTTTGGGCTGGTTCTACACAAGCAGCGAACACAGCCGAAAAAAGCCCAACACAAACTGCTGGTCAGTTTGACGAGTGTTGCCCAGCAGCCTTGCGCGGACTGCAAAGCCGCAACTTCTTGCCCACGAAGACCGTTGCAAAGCTGCGCAGCAGCTCCCCACACATGCGCTGCGCTGGACTCACATGCCGCCAAAGCACCAGTCTGGTGGTCAGCTTGTGTTGGCTTGCATGCAAAAGCATCTGGAAAGTTCATGCGCAGCCTGCTGAGTGCTGGCCGACGTACTGCGGGCGATGCAACGCTTTATTGACCAATGCAAGCTCGGTTTATATTTGGCGAGCGTTTGCTTGCTCCCTGCCGCCTTCTCTGCATCCCTCTCATGTGGTCGGTTCAGACGTCATTCTTCTACAAAGGGTGGCTCAGACTGTGTCGTACTCCACTCTTCATGCGCCGCTGGGGTCAGAGTGTGCCCCTGCTCGGGTTTCGGGTTCGGGTTCGGCTTGGGTTTCGAATGCATTCGTTTGCTTTTTTGGCCAAGGGGGAGGGGTTCGGGTTTGAGTTTGGGCGGGGTACGTAATGAAACGCAGGCACCGTTATATAGTGTTACTCTTTTTTGGGTGTTTTCAGGATTACATCGACAAA